GAGGAAGGGAAGGGAAAGGAAAGGAAAGGAAAGGAAAGGAAAGGAAAGGAAAGGAAAGGAAAGGAAAGGAAAGGAAAGGAAGACTTTTTTGAAGTTGCTTTTTAATGTGTGTCATTCATCATTTTTTGAAATGCAACTAAAAAGGTACAGACACACACATATACGCACTCTGGGGTCTGGCTCAGGAATTCAACCTGCAGTCCACTCACCTTTCTGTGAAGAGAATGACCAAATCCTCTTGGTCCGCATAACCCTCCAAAGCCGATTTCAAGAGACGGATCTTCTGCCCGCCTCCTGCTGTCTTTTTGTCATCTCCGCCATGCCATTCTTCGTTTAGTCCAAGGACCTGGACAGTTAAACAGCATCGTAAAGAAGCCGCCCTCCTGATCTATCTCAATGGGTCAGTATTTTTATGCACTTTAAACAAATGTGGAGGTAACAACTGAAGGCTACCGCTTGCAGGGAATGAGAACCGCCACTATCAGTGCAGCTGCACTGTCTTCTACAAATTTTAAAAACATAAGTAAAAATGCATCTTGAAGGATGCAATCCTGTATACACTTACATGAGCGTAAGCACGCTTAAATAGTGGGACAATTCTGAACAGGCCTGTGACGGACTGCACTGCTAGCCATGCATTAGATCAGGATTGCAATCAGTGTTCCCTCTAAGATGAGTTGGTGTGAGCTAGCTCACTGTTTTTTAGCCACTAGCTCACACATTTTTGTCTTCGCTCAGGAAGGACGGCTCCAGAGCAAACTAATTTTTGCAGCAGCCAGATCGCTCGCTCACAGCTTTAATGCCAGTGGCTCACAAAGTAGAATTTTTGCTCACAAGACTCCGCATCTTAGAGGGAACATTGATTGCAATCCTAATTTTCTCCTATTCTAGGAAATTTGGGTAAAATTCATTTCTGTACAACGTGGAACTCTCGATTCGGACAGCCTGCTTGCGTCACCTTGATCTTGTAGTTGAAGAACTGGGCTGATCTCTGGAACCGCCGGAATCCTTCTGTCTCCTTGGTGGCCACAGTTAGAACCAATAAATTATCTGTGTAGAAAAGGAGGAACATGGAGAATTAAGAGGCACACAGGATGCCGGTTTTGGATACAAGGCACTCTGCTGCCACTCAGCCAGTTATGTCTGCTTGCCACTTTTTAATTCCACCCTGCTGCCAAAGGCTCAGGTCCGTGTACACGGTTCTCTCGTCCTCTGTTTGAGCCTCACAACACAGTGAGGGGAGGCTAGACGGAGAAGACTCATCCAGCAAACTTCATGGCTCAGAGGGGAATCTGAACCCACATCTCATCCCAGCCCAGCATTCTAAAGCACTACAGCAAACTGGGATCAATGGTTACCTTCCAGTTCCTCCCAATGATAAAAGAATATCCTAATGCTCCCACTGCCATCGACACCATCCCTGACTCAATCGTTCAGTCCAAGTGAGAAAAGAGAAACTCTCAGGATGTTAGAAGGGAAGCTCTCACATGTCACATGAAGCGGTCTTATACTGAAGTGGACCGGTGGTCCATCAAGGTCTGCCTACTCAGACTGGCAGCGGCTGGCCACTGAACATGGGCCTTTCTGCTGCATGCCACACAGACGCTCCGCCACCAAGCTAAAGCCCCTCCTCTTGGTCTCATATAGAAAAGCAGTGTTTGCATTCTCCTAGACAAGAACAGGGAGAAAAAAATAAAACATCTCTCTCACACACACACATTCACCTGTTGAAAGATCTGTGGCACATCAGCAATCAGAGAGCTTCCCAAATTATTGGTCGCTACTAGCAGTTTGAAGAGAGCTGCTTTTAGCTATCTCGTGGTTTGTAAGAAGTTGAGTCTGGAGCACCAGGAATTTTTTTAATTAGGGCCCAGAGATGAAAGACGGTGAAACAGAAAGAGGATCTAACATGACACCCGGTCAGCTGGGATGTTCCACTTCTCAGCTTGGACCAAACACAAAGGAAAAAAAATCCAGTTTTGTATCTAAATGCTCTCACTCAAAGATGCCTTCCCCACCCAATACCATTCTTTGCCTTTGCCTTATTGTGGTGCCACACATCAGAGATTTTGGCCCAATATCTAAACGTGGGGGGGGGGGCGCCTTAGGCTTTCGCCTCTTACTACTTACTCCGACATTTAGCTGCAAGCAGGGTCTGGATTCCAGATGTCATTTGGTCTAAATATAATACATCTGAGATCTGTCCCGACCCCTCTCCTGTCCCCTTTCATGTCTGTGGGGTGGGGAGGGAAGAAACAATTCTAAGATCTTCCCTGTATTCTCACTCAGCGGAATGATGGGAGGGCGGCATGAATCCAGGAACTCTTTGCATTACCAATTTATAAGTTCATGGTATCCGCTACAACCCTTTTAATATTGTTCCAAAGACAGGGCAAAGGGTGGTATTTCCCCCTGAGTGACCTATATTCTGGTAGCCTAGCAGGAGCAGAAGAGATCAGTTTCCAAAACAGGCAGAGAATGGCAGAGAAAAGGTGGGTGAGCCAATCTAATTTAAAACCACATTAACAAAGCCCAGGTAGAATGCCTTTCCCAGGTTAGGAAAAGCACTGCCAAGTCTGAAAGAATGCCTGTGTGCCTAAGAACACAAATCAAGGAAGCTATAAAAAGTGAAAAGGCTTCTTTTTAAAAGTGGAATGAATGGAACAGGGAGGGTCACAGGGTCTGGCAAAAGCAATGCAAGCCGATAGGCAGGCAAAAAAGAGAATTTGAGGAGCGGATTGCTAAAAGCACCAAGACAGACAATAAACCTTTATATTTATATATACCTAGGCCTTGCTAGACCTTTCCAGGATGGACATTTATTATTCTACTTATTCTACTTATTTTACAGCAATATTCTAGTCTCAATCCACTAAGACCAGGTCAGCTGGATCGAGGTTATAGCTGGTACGTCCCCAGACCTGAAGGATCCCTGGTTTCTGTCACACAAGAACCAAGAGGTGACTTCAGGCCCCTGAGACTTCGCTTTTGTGGTAACTCTTGGCCCTGCTTCTAGCTACTGATGCTGCTCTCAAACAACACTTGACAGGGCATTTCAAATCTTAAACTTTTAGGATGACCGAAGAAGAGATATTCCAGACGGTTGGTCTGGGGCAACCGAAACGACGAGAGATTTGTGGCGAGATTTCATGAGTGCAGAAAAGAGGACAGAACCAGTGCGGAACAGAAGTTCCTGTGAGCCACAAACCAGACCACATCCAGATCATAAAGGCTTCTACCCGAATAAGTGCGTTAGTTGTTACAGTTCCAAAAGACTCTTGTTATTTGGAGAACTCAGGTACTTCTGCGATGTTGATGCACACTAGGGTTGCTTATTCTGAAAAAGAAACACTCCTTGGGCATTCCAGTTAGTAGCAAACCATGTCGTTGTTAAGTGGGGGGGGGGACCTCCCAAATGAGGCACTTACAGGGACAATGCACTGCAACACTCAACAAAGGAAAGGTTTTCACCGGTAGCCATGGAAAAAAAGACTCCGTAAAACTTAAAAGAGTTCCCAGTTGCCATGCCTGGCCTGTGGGATCTGTGTGCCATCTCAGTCTAGGCAACGGCTGTTTCAAACCCGGCATGATCCCATCGGGCTCCTGGGTGCTTTTGGCATGCTTATGGAAGGAGGTTAAGCTAGGGATGCCAGCCTCCAGGTGGGACCTGGGGATCCCCTGGAATTACAGCTCATCTCCAGACTATAGAGATCAGTTCCTCTGGAGAAAACGGATGCTTTGGACGCTGGACTCTGTGGCATCGTACCCCACTGAGGCCCCTGTCCGCCCCAGGCTCCATCCCCAAAACTCCATCTGTTTCCCAACCTGAATATGACAACCCTACCCCCTCTATCCCCCACCGGTGGCCTGGCAACCCTAATAGCTCTGTTTGAAATGTTTGGGGCTCAGAAGACAAAGGTGTGGGTTCCTTTTAAACAGCTACAAAACGGAGGTAAGAAGATCAAAGAGTAGCCAAGCTATAGCAAAACCACATCAAAGGAGGAGGGGGAGATTGGATTTATACCCTGCCCTTCACTACCCAAAGGAATCTCAGAGCGGCTTACCCTCTCCTTTCCTTTCCCCTCCCCACAACAGACACCCTGTGAGGGAGGTGGGACTGAGAGAGCTCTTTCGAGAACTGCCCTTGAGAAAACAGCTCTGAGAGAACTTATGACTGACCCAAGGTCACACCAGCAGCTGCATGTGAAGGAGTGGGGAATCAAACCCAGTTCTCCCAGATTAGAGTCCGTGCTCTTAACCACTACACCAAACAAGGACACTGAGATATCGGGGAGGCAGAGAAGTCTAACATTGTACCTTAAACTGTTGTTATTTGCTTTCAAGGACCCAGTGGTTGGAAAGTGGGATATAAATCTATTTTTTAAATCAATATGTCATTTATTTAACCCTGCCTTTGTCCACACACTCAAAATGGTTTGGGGATTGCCCTTGAATCTTACTTTCGGATGTCTTCCCCATTCGAAGTGTGTTGCTGGCCATTTTCAGCGCTTGTGAACACACACACACACACACACACGCACACACACAAGCTGCGTTCAGAGCCAACACATCTCCTGAGTGCCGGGATACATCAGTCCCTGTAAGTCCAGCAAATACATCCAGAAGTAACAGCAAACCATCTGGTGCATCGATCAGTGACACCGGACATGCCAAGCTGGATGCATGACAAAATGCTGCTGTGCTGTATTTTGGGAATGTGTATTCATGCCTTGTCTGTGTGTGCATTCATTTTTCATCTCTGCCCAGTTTAAGGGCTCTCCAGAGGCAACTGATTTACCTTATTTTTGTATTTAAAATATTTATATACCCTCCTTTCACCTATGAATCCCAGGACCCAGGGAAGTTAACAACTAAAAACAATTCGATAAACCAAATAGCAGAACAATGCATTAAGAACAAGCAAGAAATCCTCCTTTGTCCAGGCTTACACTGCCCCACAAGCTCTCTGGAACAGCTGTTTTGCGGCCTTCCCAGGAGCGTAGGTGCCCTCCGAACTCTGTTCCAGAGCAATGGAGGATTACTGGCTGATTTGGAAAGAAGATGTCAGACTAGAGGGACCTTTGGCCTGATTCAACAGGGGCCTCTCTTCTTACATCTTTCCTCCTGCTTCTCCCCCTCTGCGGCTAGAGAAAGCCATAAATATATAAGGGAAGGGAACTTATAGCAGCATTTAAGTAATGGAAAAGCCCAGCGGTGCAATGCACCGTTCAGTGGAACTCTGACTTCTGCTAAAACCAGCTGGCAACTCCAGCGTGGGATCAGAGGCCTCCCAAATGGACAGACGAAGGTGTCATATTTCCAGCCAAGGAGAAGAAAAGGGATCCACTGTATGGCCTTCCAAAGCGGCTGGAATGTGGAAAAGTTAGCAGGCGCACACAATCCGCCCTGTGTGGAAGTCCCTCTTGTTAAAAAAAAAGTCTTTAAATTCCAGAGTCGCTGGAGAAAAGACACTTGGCAGATGGGAAATGGAGTGGGAGGGGGGCTCTGTGTGCATATATACACTCTGAATAAATCTCTTTGTTAAAAATACATTTAGAAGTATTCTGACACTGCAAACTTTTGGGAGGTGCCAGTTTTTTAAAAAAAGGCAAGCCAACGTCTCTTTAGAGTGTACGTGCGGCGCGTGATTGCACACGTTGGGGTAGGAAAAGGTGCCCCATCTGACGATTCTTTCCTCTGCACATGGACTGAGATCGGCTCCCCCCCCCCAGAGAAGGCCACGCAGCTGGAGGTGGGTTGCTTTTCTCCTTCCCCATGAGACATGTGTCAACAGATCACTTTTTACATCTTCAGCAAGAATGAAGTCTCTTCTGCAGCATGACTGAACTGCAATTTAATTCTCTTTCCTTTTCCTTCTCAGTTTGCTAAATGGGGCAGCCACAGCCGAGCTGGCAAGATTTCAAATGGCAAATGCTTTAAAAATATTTTTACAGGGCCGGGAGCGGCTGTTCTGCGCTCCTTTGCATCGCTGCTATAGTCCTGTGGGGAGAGCCTGCGGGGCCCAGCTCCCCACCCCAAATGTTTGCCACTGGAGTGTGTGGATTATGGGAGACCTAGGTTACAATTTCCAGTCAATCAACCAGGGTGAACTCGCCCCAGTAACTTGCTCTTCC